CCCCCCCCCCCATCGCCTTGCAGCGACTTCAAAACCACCCCATGGTCACTGAGACCTGAGATGCGTAGTGAACCTTGGTTCTAGGTGCTATGCATACACAAGTCAGCAGACTCGTGAAACCTCGCCCCTCGCCCCTCAGATTCTTGCCGTTGCATGTCGGCCTTGCGGTACGAGCATTTGGTCTCCAGCGGCGATCTACGCGTCAAATATCAACAAACAGATATTCCTCTCAAAGGTTGTGATTTAGCCGACACTAGAAATGCCGAGGGCTATGTTGGGCAGCCCTGGGGTCATCACGTCTGCACCAAAGTTGCGCAGGAATGGAAGTATCGACGAACCCGTGCTACCGGCATGAGCACCCCCTCTGACCCGGCCTCTCGCTTCGCAGCCAGAGTTTGGAGCAGGCGTGCACCAGTTGGGTTGTATAGCTACCAAGTTTCGCTCCATTCGACTTCGACAGCAGCTTTTGCTTGTCAACTGTTGCCAGTAAGCACTCCATTCGTGTAGCTCCTTTCGAGCACTGAGACAAACAGACTGGCCGACCTTTGCGCTTGGATGTGGCCACTTGCGTCATTTTTTTCCGAAACCACGGTTCTACGGAACATTCGAGATCGCCCCTCCGCCATGAGCGACTGCGTGTTTTGCTTCTTGTTCCCTTGCCGCGTGACAGTTTCTTTGACGCTGTATGCATCTGATAAATAGCGTCTTGCGCTCCCCGTGCCTTGGGTAAATGACGCCAGAGGTGCGACCAAAACGCAAGCTATTTGCTGTGGGTGACATGTTAACAGGAGCAGCGCACCACAGACAGGCGGCGTGGCAGGAATAATTTCCGAACGCCCCAACACGCCACCAAGGCCGCGGAGGCCTCCGTGCTTCCGTCGAGATGCTGCGAAGACCTAGAGCGTTTCACTACTCTACGGCACCCAACACAACGCACACGCGCGAAATAAATTTAGAACCCCAGAGACAAGACCTGTGGACTGGACTACACGCGGTAGTTGCATGCTGACTATAACGCCATGCCGCCGTGTTGATTTGGTCGTTCTCTTCGTCGCCGCTGTTGTGGCAGATGGCCACCCTTACGCGCCTCGTGCGGAGCGTGTCCGGACGAAACATTGTGGCCGCCACCATCATCGAACACCCGGACACGATCAAGGCCAACGAGGCCGCCGCCGCCGCCGCTGCCGCCGAAAAGGCTAAGGAAAAGCCGGAACCCCTGGAAAAGATCAAGGAGGCGACGCCGGCAGATGGTGGAGGCAAGAAAAAGAACAAGGGCAAGAACAAGCAGAAAGGTGCAGAGATAGACATAGATAGAGAGGGACAGAGAGAGAGATAGAGAGGGACAGAGAGAGACGGAGGACAAAGGAAAAAGGTAATCACAGCTTCCAAGTACCAGGGGCGTAAGGGCGGGGGATGAAAACCGTAGAGCACGGTGTAAAAGAATCCACGAAAGCAAACGCCCCCCGCGGAGCCCGAAATAACGCCAAATATGTCGCCCCAACACCGAGCAAACATCCTGGCCCGGGCCGCCTTCGTTCTTCCTTGGTGTTGAGAAACCAACTCCCCGGGTGTAGTTTGCCAACATCCCGGTCCTCCTCTTCGGAATTTGGTTTTTTGTGAACACGCCCGCGGGCGGTTGTTCGGCATTTTGTCACTCGCGCCAAGATTTGGTCGCCTTGTTTTGTACGTGCCAGTTCCGTATCTCTGTCTTGTGTGTACGTGTCATTTCCGTCTTTCTTCACGCCATTCCAAAGTTGTACATATTGTAGCGTTGTTTTTCATTTCTGGGACACGTGTAGGCCATGTGTCAGCTTGAGATACGGGCTTCCTTGCAGGCGGTGCAAGCGCCCAGCTACGCGGGGAGGGTCATGCTGATGCCTAGGTCAGCGCCCCATAGGGTTCGTGCTGTAGGCCAAGCAAAAACAGTCATTTCATGATCGCTCCTGCCTGCTAAATGTGCACCGAGCGATGCGCCATTTTTTTTTTTTGTGGAAACACTCTGTGCCTGCCACGTCAGCAAGTGGCACGTGATGGCCTTTACGTAGCAAAGACCGGCCTCGACCAGCTGGCCTCGACCCATTCTATGGATTGAGGCGGGTCAATTGTTGTGTTCATAAGAAAATGAAGGAAGAACTGTTGTGCGTGCGCCTGCTTCCGTTCCGCCCTCGTCTTTTCAACGCGAAGCAGGTGGCGGTGCGGCCGCCGTTGCCGTAGCCGCGGCAGCGGCAGCGATCGCCAAGGCCACTGGCGCTGGGGGCAAGAGTGAGGGCGACGGAGGAGACAAGGGTGAGGAGGAGGAGGAAGAGACGCCGGCGGAGGCGGAGGAGGACGAGGACGACAAGGAGGAGGAGGATGACGAAGATTTCCCGACGTTCATGATGCCCCTGCGCGTGGTGAGGCGGCGGAAGTTGGTATTTTTTCATTTCCACCACACGAAAAATGGGGGGACTGCTGTCGCCATAATCAATAGGGCGAAAACAACACACAGGCAAGAGAGAGAAAGAGAATGTGAACCGGACGTTTGTGATCCTAACTTGCAGTGTGGTGACAAAGAGAATGTCAGATCAAGAGAGGTTGGGCACGGAGATTTGGCGGTGAATATCCCGGTGGGTAAAACGTTCCTCCACTTTTCCCCCGTTCCGTCGGGAGGACGGGACCCTTTCGTGGCAAATCCCCCTCGGGAGGGAAATTAGGGAAGGAGGGGAGATGCGTTTCGTGTTTTATTTCGAAAAAACCCCCCCGGGGGGTGCGCCCCCGAAACACACGACGGTAGTGTCCAGACAACAGCCTACTGTAAAAAACAACAACCTCACGGTGCCCAATCTCTTGCAGTAATAACTAATTATAAACCCTTTAAAAAATTACCATACTGCAGTTGGAGTGCCACGCAGATGACGAGATCCACCTGGAGAGTTGTTTTTCATGCCTTGCGATGCCGAAACAACCGCAGAACGAAATGCAAAAGACACCGACCGGGGAACCTAAAAAATACAATTGATGCTTTCTTCGAAACGCAGTTTTTCCGCGAGAAATAGGTATCCTTTGTCTTAGTCGAGCCACGAGTTGGAAGTCTTTCGGAGCGCAAGTTTACGGCGTTGCTGTTGGCTGTGATAGATCAAACCTCCTCCAGCCTCCAACCCCGACCAAACCGCCCCGAGTGGGTTGCTTGGAGAGTCCGGCCTGCGAGTCCGGCCTGCTGTCGCGCCTCCTTGAACTCCTTTCGTAGCGCCTCGTAGTCTACGTCGCCGCTATTCTCCGAAGAAGAGACGAGGCCGACTCCTTATACAACGCCATGCACCCCACCACCCAACCACCTTACCACGGGGTCCTGCACCTTACTTGCCTTTGACCACCTTCGACCCGTGCTCCCTTCGTGTACCTCTGTCTGGTGCTATGTATCTCAATGAACGCCGTTTTTCTGGTCTCGGTCTATTGGCTTGTTGATCAAACCCCAGGTCACCATGCAGTACCCGTACGGAATGTACATGGGCCAGGCGATCCCGGATGCAAGGCTTGGAAGCGACATCCCTCACGGACGGGTGAGCCCTGAGAAATACCGCAACACAAATGAAGACAAATGAAGCCAAATGAAGGCCGTGGACAAGAGTGGCAGGTGTTGGTGTTGGTGGAGCGCACAGTAGAGACACCATGTGGAAACCTCGTCTGTTTGCCGAGAGAGATTTGAGCTCCATCCTGTGTTCACCCAAGTTTTTTTGCGGTGATGTAGGCGGGCAGCTGTCGTGTTGCAGGCGCAGAGTTCTCCATGCTTTCCCGACTAGTGTACTCGTTGCTGTGGACCTCTTTGCCGAGCCGGGGTGTTTTCCTGTAGCCGCGGCAATGGAGTTCCAAGGTGAACGGCATGCTCGCGACCCGAAACGCCGCTCGCCTCCTGAAAGCCCTCTTGTCGGCCACCGCGCTTCGCACAGGGGAGCTTCTTCTACAATGACGGAGCCGTCTACGAAGGAGACTGGAAGCACGGCAACTGGGAGGGGCAGGTGAGGTCGGTCCATCCAGAAGAAAACGTGTTCGTTTCGCTATGGTAGGATCGCCAGTCATACGTATCGGCCTAGCGTGTGGTTTGTTCGTGCCCACTCCAGGTAGAACCTGGCCACCTGTCCCCGTGGTGGAAAGTCATCCCCCCTCCCCACTTGTACAGGGAGATGTGTGAGGCATGGAATATAGAAAAGACGGTAGCTGTGCTGGGGAGTAGGAAGTGGTTTGAAAAGGCGGGAAGGCGGGAAGGGGTATAGCAAGGAAAGATAGACTTGGGACGATATTTCTGAGCCACCTTTGGCAAAGTAGGAAGGAACGATTGGCCATCGGTGATCGGTCCCGTGGGAGCAATGCTTCGTCCTCTCGAGGACGCGTGGTCAATGGTCTAACCGCTAAGGCATGCAAAACATAAGAGTACGCCCCCCTCCCTCCCCCCTCCAGTTGTTTAAATACTAACGGTATGGTGTATTCTGAGACATCAAGAACACCCCCTTTGGTGATGTACGTCCATTTGGAGGAGAACGGGTGATCCGTCCCGGCTTTGCAGGGATGCGAGGTCAATGACCAAACGACTACGGCATGCACGTCTATGAGTGCACCCCCCCCCCACGCCCCCCCTCCCGGTGCAAGATCCCCTGCCATCATGATCCGACAGGGACTTCATTTGATCCCGGGGATAAGAACGCCGTGCTCTTGATGAAAGCCCATCGAAGAATCGCAGCACAGTCAGCGGCAAGCCTTGCTGTTAGCCCCTTGCGCTGATGAAACATCCCTTCTTGACTACGTGAAACCTTTTCCCTATCGCCGGACACCGGCAGGCGGTCAGGACCTGGCCTCTCGGCGCTCGGTACGAGGGAGAGTTCAAGAACAACCTGCAGCACGGACAGGTGGGTGAAGCAGAGGGGCGCAAGGGAGGGAAGCGGTGTGCACCAGACAAAATGTTTAGCCTTCAGCTTGCAGGAGTCGCGCTGACCGGAGCAGCCTTGTTTGTGGTGCTATCGTGCGCGTGGGGTTTCAGGGCTGAGCCGCGCGTACTAATTTGTCCGCCCTATGTTCGGTTGCTCGGCTGTTGGTCGGTGGCATGATGCGTGGTGCGCTCGGAGCACCGTAGTTGTGGTTGTGACGTCGGGGCGCTTTTGCCCTGGTCCACGCGTTTATGCTACCGCGGTAAATCCGCTCATAATAAAAAAACTCAACGAATTGATGCACAACTTTGAAGTCGTAGCAGAGCACAATGCTCCCGTGTTGTACATTTTTCTGTCGCCACATCTGTTGATTCGTTTACCTCCCTGCTCGATGCCATAGACGTTGTAAATCGAATCGACGTGCCACGATTTTCCGCTGAGGTATATTTGTTGTGATCCCCCAAGGTGTCCCCTTTCCCTCCTCTTCTCCTCACCCGTTTTTGTGCTGGATTTTTGCCTGTGTGGGCCAAAAGGGCACCCTCATGCTTCCCAACGGAGGCGGTGGCTACTCTGGAGAATGGGAGCATGGCTACCAACACGGCAAGGTAAGGTGTTGCTCGTTGTTGCTTAGCCCGTGCCCCCCGTCCTCTCTTCTCTCTGCTCTTGACACATGCATGCACCGTGTTAGTGCGGGGGAGGTGATCCTCCCCCCCGTTCAATCAGATGTTGCTCCCGGTGGTGATGCGGTGGGTGTTCTGCGAGAGAGCAGAGATAGGAACGCGTTGACGCGGTTGGCCTCCTCGCCTTCGTTAATGGGTCCCCTCTCCTCTATGCTGTTGCTGTTGCTGTTGTCCTCTCCTCTCTTGGCGTGTGTTCTCCTCGGTGTTGACCAAGGGCATCCTCACCACGCCCGACGGACAGACGTGCGAGGGAGACTTCGTGGAGGGCAACCCGCACGGCAAGGTCAGACCCGCACCATTCCGTCCCGCGTCCCAACCCGTCCCACCCCGCACCGTCCCGTCCCATCCCGTCCCTCCCATGGCGTTTGTTGTGACATTCGTTCGTCCTGAGATCTTGGGTGGACGTACCTCTGTGTCTGGAAGAACCCGCGAACCGAGCTGCGCTTTATATCGTCAAGAGCCCGCGCCTTGACATATCGACGTTATTGTGTCTTTCATCACTGTTGAGACGTTTTTTTTCGCTTACACTAATACCTTCGGCCGTGTTATAGGGCATCATGAAGACTCCGGACGGGATGGTGTACGAAGGAGATTTCGAGAACGGCCTCCCCCACGGCAAGGTTAGCGCAGCTCTTGGTCAAGGGTTCGCAGCGGTGTCGAGAGAGGAAGCAGCTGCTGCCGCTTTACATGCACCTACCTGTACACGCGTGCAGGACATTCAGCCCGACCGCATAGGATTCACTTGATGTTAGTGTTGAAGACTTGGTATTTTTGGAACACTTGTTTTTAGCGTAGAAGGATGCGCCCAAGAGACACCCGAGCACGGACTCCCATCCGCGAAGCCCCCTTTTCGCTTTCCTTTCTTCTGTAACGAGGACGTGATATTTCTTGCGCGACACAACCGCAATGTACCCCCCCCCCCCCCCCCC